GCTGCCCGCCCCCGGCCCGGGGCAGCCCGGCGGGGCTCCGCTCCAGCCGGAGCGGGACACCAGCGGTAGGGAACGTCCCCTGCCCGCACTGTGTTCCACAGGGCGCGTAACTGTCCCGCGGCTCTGTGAGGACCCGTCGCAATTAACAAAGTATTTGACTTCTAACGTGCTGGGAGACCGGACGGTTAGTATCTCGTAGATACCAACTGCAAAAACAAAACTCTCCACGTGGTGTTGAAAGGCTCCCTGTCAGTGCAGAAAGCCTTTTCCTTACTCATCTTGGAATCAAAAGAAAAAATAAAAAAATTTCCCCAAAACTATGAGGGAATCCATGCTAATTGTTTTTAACCCGTGGGTCTTTCCTTGGCACAACCCAGCCGTGCTTTCTCTAACGTTTAGTTCACGTACCTCCGAATACACATTCATTCCTCTCTCAACTTTTTCGGTGCATTCTACCACCCGTCTCTTTGCTTATTTTAAGAGGTGGGGGGGGGGGGGGAGTGGTGTGGTGTGGTGTGTGTGTGTAAAAATCAAATCTTGGGACATTTAGGGTATTCATTAACCTGGTGAAGAGGAACAGAGGCATTATTACTCACATAGAAGGCACCCTGCCCCCATGTCTATCTAAGGGTTCATTGTAAAAGGATTAAAAGTTAAAGACCTTCATCTTATGATTCTTTCATTTAATCTTCGTGGCGCCTGAAAGACATGCTGGATGGATGATCACATTTAAAATATTCCTAATGTCGGCTACCTTAGGACTCCAGGCAGGGCAAACAAACGTAATTTATTTCTAGAAGAAAGGGGATATTGAGATGTTTAAGTTTATGAACCACCATTACCATGTATATTTGTTAGGTTCTGACAAATACCCAAATAACATTAAAATCAGCCATTCATCACATATGAATTTATGCAAAGCCTTCTCTGCCTGGGGCCAATATTTTTTTAGACAGAGTTTCACTTGCAAAAAAAAAAAAAAAAAAAAAAAAAAAAGGTTTTTTAAAAAAAAAAAAAAACCAAAAAAAAAGGTTTTTTATGAACGGTAAAAAAAGGAATT